AAGTACAAGTAACAGTATGTAATGGTAACAAATAATGTGTATAAAAACTCTGCTGTTATTACAGTAGATTCTACACAAATAAATACTCACTACAAAAAGTAGAATCATAACCCTTACTTAACTTGATATAACTTTGAACAATTAAGATTGTTACTTCGTTTTTTTTGTTAAGAGTAACTATCATTTCCCCACAGAAGATTTGCTTCAGTAAGATTTATGTCTGGGTTGTGCTACTAATGTAATGAGGGACTACCACCTTATCTTTTGAGTTTACTGACAGACGGATTTTCACGAACGTCTTCAGATAAGGCGTTCCATAATTATATTGAGGGATTTAAAACGAATCTTTATATAACCGAGTTCTACAATTAATTGAAAGTTAATTATATGAGTTTCTTGTAAAATGACTATGGGATACGTTATCTGTGACTAAATCAGACAAGTACGGTGGTGTTTTCTTGTGATGTATTTAATAAAACAAAAGATTATGTTTGCCCGTCGGTTAGATAACTTTTCCATACCCACATCTTTATAGAGTAATCTTGTAGCACACGTAACAATTCTCGCGTCTTCAATCTGAATGTTTTCCAAATTTTTACACAAGTAAGTTGGTAAATTATCCCAGAGAATATCAGAATATTCTAGTATTGGCCTAATGAATGAAATGTATGTTGTGTGAAGAAAATTTCTATAAAGTGTATTTTTAGATTTCTTACTATAGCCAGTTTTTGTTACACATTTTTCATTATATAATCAACATGGCCATTCCTTGTACAATCGTCTGACAACCCTACCCCTAAAAGTTTGTGGGAACTAATATTGGATACAGAGATCTTGTTCATGGTTATAGGATTGTAATGTTTTGTGTTTTTTTGTTTATTCTTTGTTGTCAGAGTTGAATTTATCTAGCAAGTTACTTGCCCAATTATACATTCTCAAAAGATCATTATTAGTAGTTTTCACAGCGATAGGTTTTGACTTTTATGTACAAGGTGATGTCATCGGTAAATCGTTTCATTATACAATCGATATCGGTCACTAAATCATTAATGTATACTAGGAAAAAACAGAGCCTAAAATTGAACCTTGAGGTACGCCTGCTGTGATATTTTTTTTTATTTGAGGAATAACTGTTTAAACGACTTTTTGGTTTCTGTCAGATAAATGAATGACCAGAAATACCGACTACTTTTACTTTTTGTATAAGACCCCAAACCCGATCGAACGCTTTACTTCTGCTATACAGCTATAGCTTACTTATCCGCCTTTAAAGTCTTTCCAGCATTGTTAGTAATATCTAAAAGTTGGTTAGTTGCAGAATATTCGAGTATAAAACCTGACTGACACAAAACTTTTCACAAACTTACCAACAATACTGATCAAAGTCTCTAATTTGAAACACTGGATTGGTTACCATTTTTAAAGACTGCTGTGACATTTACGGTTTCTATGTAGAAGGATATATACCACAGTCTATAGAAATTAAACGATCTAGTCAGAATTGAACCCACAGACCGACCTCTTTTTTTTCTTCCTTAATAATTATAGGACTCCTATTATCGAGACCTGAAGCCTTTAGAACATATAACATGGTTATAATGCTCAGAAATACCAATAATTTCAAGTTCATTAGGAGTTGTAACTGTAACATCAGGTAATGTGGTGTTAGAGTCAACAATGGTAGACTGACTTATATATAGAAGTTATTGTATAGGTCTGGTTTGTCTCCGTAGTTATCAGGTATCAAAGAAGCTATACTTGTTTGTTAAGGTATTTATCAGTTTCCACCAGTCTCGTGTAGACATAAACGTACATTTAATTTATCGGTTAACTTTGAAATGTAATCACGCTTTACTTTTCTAATTACACCAATACGTGATATCCGAGCCTACTCGTTGTCCGCGGGTTTTGTGTACTTTGGACTTTTTTATGTAATCTTTCTTTTCCGATTTTTTACTGATATTCTGATTGCGGTGTGTATCCATGGTGATTCGTTATATCTTATAGGTACAGTTTTATTTAAAATATATTTTTTGGCAATTTTCAAAATAGTAGAATTAAACAAAATAATAAAATCATCAAGTTCTCTTTTCAATAGGGCCAACTCAGTCAATATAATTAAAAACCAAAACACATTTTATATTTACCTTTGTTGTATAACCAAACTTGAAAGTTTGAATTTAATACGTTACGATCAACATTTAAACATGTGTAGAAAGGACGGTGATATCTTGTATCTGTTGGTAAAAATGATTCGCCAACAACAACTTACTTACTAACATTTACATCACTTGCCAACAATAAATCTAAAAGAAAAAATGAGTGGTCAGCATAATGATTAGGATCTACCACAAGTTTATTTAAGTTGTATCTATACAATCTATGTTCTACATATTATTGAAACAGTTTCTTCTAAAGTCTGCGTAAAAACAATTGAAATAAGTTAGTAAGGATACATTAAATAACATGTATACATGTTTCATCAGACCACCTCTGGAATATGTCTGTTGCGTTTAGGATGGTTGCTCTGTTGGGATATCAAATGCCTTGGATAGGGTACAGTTAGAAGCAGCACGAGTTTTGACTGGCCTCACCTCTGTTGCCTCTTGTGAGGCACTTTATCATGAGACTGGTCGGGTTCCTTTAAAATCTAGAAGAAAACAGTGTAAACTTTCTATTTTTTACAAGATGCATAAAACCAGAATATCTTTATAACTTGCTTCTTTTTAGAAGAAATCATCTTCGTCGTGATTTCCGTAATCCCGATAACTATCAGATACCACTCTATAGATTAGATATTCTTAAAAAATCATTATCGCGTCTTCAATTAATTTATGGAATAGTCTCGATGATTCTGTGAAAAGTGCCTCATCAACTCCTACATTCAATACCAGCAGTACACCGTGTTCTAACACAATATCTTAACGTTGGTAGGGGATATCTCTGTTTTTTAACACGAATTAGACAAAATTGTAATGATCTTAAAAGTAATTTATTCCGCGTAAATATTTGTGTTTCACCTGAATGTCCGTGTGGTGATGGTAATGAAGATGTATACCATTATGTTTTGTCTGCACAAAATTTATTATCCTTGTCAAACATTGGTATCTATGTAGTCCCCAACAGGATATTATCATATGGGGAGATGTTGATCTTCCTTTTGAAACAAATAGTAACATAGTATTTGTTATACAGTTAATTATAAAATCAAGTGCGAGGTTTGATACAAATTAGTGGATAGCTACTGCAACCAGACCCCCCCCACCCCCACACACCACCACATCCTCCTGTCCCCCCCCCCCACTCCACCACCACATTCTCCTCTCCCACCCACTCCACCACCCCATCCTCCTGTCCACCCCTCACACCACCACATCCTCCTGTCCCCCGCCCCACTCCACCACCACACCCTCCTGTCCATCCCCCCACACCACCACATCCTTTTGTCCCCCCCACTCCACCACCACATCCTCCTGTCCCCCCACTCCACCACATCCTCCTGCCCCCCCCTCCACCACATCCTTCTGCCCCACCCCACTCCACCACCACATCCTCCTGTTCCCCCCACTCCACCACCACATTCTCCTGTCCCCCCACTCCATCACCACATCCTCCTGTCCATCCCCACTCCACCACCACATCTTCATGTCCCCCCAAACCACCACATCCTCCTGTCCCACCCACTCCACCACCACATCCTCCTGTCCCCCCCAAACCACCACATCCTCCTGTCCCACCCACTCCACCACCACATCCTCCTGTCCACACCTCACACCACCACATCCTCCTGTCCCCCCGCCCCACTCCACCACCACATCCTCCTGTCCATCCCCCCACACCACCACATCCTTCTGTCCCCCCTACTCCACCACCACATCCTCCTGTCCCCCCTCTCCACCACATCCTCCTGCCCCCCGCTCCACCACATCCTTCTGCCCCCCCACTCCACCACCACATCCTTCTAGTCCCCCCCCACTCCACCACCACATTCTCCTGTCCCCCCACTCCATCACCACATCCTCCTGTCCATCCCCACTCCACCACCACATTCTCCTCTCCCCCCCCCATACAACCACATCCTCCTGTCCATCCCCACTCCACCACCACATCCTCCTGTCCCCCCTCCACAAAACCACATCCTCCTGTCCTCCCCCCACTCCACCACCACATCCTCCTGTCCACCCCCCACACCACCACATCCTCCTGTCCACCCCCACTCCACCACCACATCCTCCTGTCCCCCCCACTCCACCACATCCTCCTGTCCCCCCCCCCACCACATCCTCCTGTCCCCCCCGCCAATCCACCACCACATCCTCCTGTCACCCCCCTCCACCACCACATCCTCCTGTCCCCCCACTCCACCATCACATCCTCCTGTCCACCCCCCACACCACCACATCCTCCTGTCCATCCCCACTCCACCACCACATCCTCCTGTCCCCCCTCCACAAAACCACATCCTCCTGTCCTCCCCCCACTCCACCACCACATCCTCCTGTCCACCCCCCCCACCACCACATCCTCCTGTCCCCCCACTCCACCACCACATCCTCCTGTCCCCCCACTCCATCTCCACATCCTCCTGCCCCCCCCGTTCCACCACCACATCCTCCTGTCCCCCCCCCCCCACACCACCACATCCTCCTGTTACCCCCCCACTCCACCAGCACATCCTCCTGTCCCCCCCCACTCCACCACATCCTCCTATCACCCCCACTCCACCACATCCTCCTGCCTCCCCCCCACTCCATCACCACATCCTCCTGTTCCCGCCCGTTCCACCACCACATCCTCCTGTCCCCCCACACCACCACATCCTCCTGTCCCCCCCTCACACCACCACATCCTCCTGTCCCCCCACTCCACCACCACACCACATCCTCCTGTCCACCCTCCTGTCCTCCCCCCACTCCACCACCACATCCTCCTGTCCACCCCCCCCCACACCACCACATCCTTCTGTCCCCCCACTCCACCACCACATCCTCCTGTCCCCCTTAATCCACCACATTCTCCTGTCCCCCTCCACAAAACCACATCCTCCTGTCCCCCCACTCTATCACCACATCCTCCTGTCCCCCCTCACACCACCACATCCTCCTGTCCTCCCCACTCCACCACCACATCCTTCTGTCCACCCCCCACCCCCACACCACCACATCCTCTTGTCCCCCTATCCACCACCACATCCTCCTGTCCCCCCACTCCATCACCACATCCTCCTGTTCCCCCCTCACACCACCACATCCTCCTGTCCCCCCACTCCACCACCACATCCTCCTGTCCACCCCCACTCCACCACCACATCCTCCTGTCCACCCCCACTCCACCACCACATCCTCCTGTCCCCCTCCACAAAACCACATCCTCCTGTCCTCCCCCCACTCCACCACCAAATCCTCCTGTCCACCCCCAACACCACCACATCCTTCTGTCCCCCCACTCCACCACCACATCCTCCTGTCCCCCTTACTCCACCACATCCTCCTGCCCCCCACTCCATTACCACATCCTCCTGTCCCCCCCCCCCCCCCCGCCCTCACACCACCACATCCTCCTGTCCCCCACTCCACCACCACATCCTCCTGTCCCCCACTCCACCACCACATCCTCCTGTCCACCCCCTCACACCACCACATCCTCCTGTCCCCCCACTCCACCACCACATCCTCCTGTCCTCCCCCACTCCACCACCAAATCCTCCTGTCCACCCCCCCTCCACCACATCCTTCTGTCCCCCACTCCACTACCGCATCCTCCTGTCCCCCTTACTCCACCACATCCTCCTGTCCCCCCACACCACCACATCCTCCTGTCCGCTTCTTTCACCTCCATTCTCACTCTTTCTTCCACTTCTTAATGTTTTCATGTTATTTTAAAGTATGTGTACATGTTGAACATTTTTAACATCACGTTATATAGCTAGCAATGTTGTCAGGAGAGGGCCTAGTAAGTTATCAGCACTTGTGCTTAATATCTTTGATTTTTTTTTTAAAATCAATAAATGAGTATATGACTAGATTGCCAGGTATGCTCAGAATGTACAGACTCATCTTCATATTCCACTGTAACATGTACTTACCAGACGTGTACAGAATGAGGACGAAATGAATGTTATTTTCTATTGTATGTAAGAAGTCAACATTTTATGGTTAAATCCGTAATACAGTGTTTATTACAAACGTACCACTCGTGACGCGTGTAGCCTGTATAGAGAAACTATAGACATATCGATGACTGAAAGACTATATATCTTTATTTACCTGTGCAAATACATGCAGATATATGTACAACTTTATCTCTAGATTTCTTTTAATCAAATCACTAGATATTAGTAGATCTACATGTATGTGACACTAAGGTGTAACATTTACTTGTACACATACATATATGTAAACATTTCAAATTTTACACATATAGTACATGATCTTTTGTAATCAATTCACGTGACGAGAAATTGAATTAAAGAAGTCATAGTCACGTGAACAACCATATCATCTAGATACATGTATGAACAATACACAACTTTAAAATCAAATTACATTTATATAGTACGAGTACTAATACAGTGTAGAAAGGTGAGTCTTGTCGACTGCTGAAGTACACTGGATATTGTAGAATGACGTAATGATAAATAGCATGAAGGAACAGTCCGCGTTATAGGAGATATGAATGGAACATTATCACCTGACCATGGACAAGACAAGACACGTGACAAGAACGTTCTCTCTAACAGGCGTGGCAGTATACTTGGAAAATTCAGTCGACGCCGACTTCAATGCTTATTTTGGAAACAAGTGGGAAATATAGCTAACTGTTCAGATGAAAGTGGGGCAACGCATTTAAAAAAGGATTTGTTATAATTTTATTCAACGACGGCAAGAAAATAAATGGACGTCAATCGTTTCCGCGACATTACGCTAACATGCACATCCGTGTTGCAGAAACAGTTCTATATTGTAGAATATTGCAACGATCGGACAACATCGGGTTTCCCGCTCCCTGCAACCAAGTTTCCAACCAGAGTGTGATAGTCTTACCGCCGGATCTATCATTAACGAAAACATCCTACACTATACAGTTCGAGGGTCTACGGTTTTGATAACATTGTTGGACAACCAGAAGGCTTTCAACTTGACTTGGATTAACGAATTGTTCTACAATTTATCGAAACTAGGCTTCAACGGCAAGATATGGAGATTTCTTCGGGACCCATTTAGTTCAGTAATATCGCGGGTGTTGTCTAGGGGACGCTCTGGAGGAGTACCGTTCTTCTGTCACTGACATATGGATGTGGGAATAATGTCGGGTATCTACATGGGCTGAGCTAGAAATACGACAGCGAACAGTCGCCAGAGAATGTCAAGGATTCTAATACAACTCAACTTCATGTGTTACTATCCAAACATTTGGCCTCTGGGGAAGTCAAGCCCGTGCTGATAAATGTTCGTTGTTGTTTTGGAATCGGCTAAGGTGTGGAGATCCAAAATTCTTATACAAGAAGAATTCTTAATACCCGTTTATGCGATTTGATGATTGATGAAACTGTGACAACATGTTTTATTTCTACACAAAAAGTATAACTCTAATAGCTTATTCGAAGGCTTTTGGGAACACTGGTGGAAAAACAAGCTGAAAACAAAATCGTTGCGAATGTGATTCATTTCAAAGAGGATGGAGAATGGAGAACTTTTCCGAGTGAGTGAGAAGAACTGTGTCTTTACTCGGATATTTAAAAAAATGGTTTTCTGCATCCACTGTGGCTAGTCGGTGAAAAATATTAGTTGGAAACTGTCAGAATTGATACAATTGTCGTTTATGTTTGTTGATGATAAAGTAATATATAAACTATGGGGACATCAAGGTAGTAAGTCATTGTTTCTGATACAATAAGCTATATGAAATAAGAGTTTTTATTAGACAATATTATCAACATTTACGGCACCACACAAGCTATAAAACTTTCACATGATGAGACAAACATGACAAAAGTTATATTAGGCAGTCGTCAATACATTGAAGTGGAAGACGATGTAGGGGAACTATTTATGCTGATGTACAGCATCAGCATCGCGTCCATGGAAAATTCTTGACTGAAAATTTGTGAAATATTACAATACATATAATGGCTGTAGGGTCGCTTACGTACTTCTATATCAGAAAGTAATATCCATGTATATTGAGGAAATAAAGATATTTCTTTATCTATCTAATAATTATTGAACTTCTTACTAGAATTCATAAGTGTCCATTTAGTGTCATAAGATCTTAACCTCGTGCTCATTTGGTGAGGCTTGGATCTTGTGTTAGCAGGCTTTCCAACGCGATGTGACCTTTCTTTGTCATCACCACGAACATATATTCTAGCTTTGTCTGTGGCATCAAGGACGGACCAAAGCAGTAGTGTTTTCAGAGTGAGATTTGTGGATCCCTGAAATTCTGACCAGTGGCCTCCGGCTATATTGCTCTAAATCATCCAGTTTTAGCCTGATGTCTTAGTTTTTTAGCTGTAGAGATCCAAGTTCGGACCTTAAGGGTGTCATTTCCTTCTGAAATAGTATAGGTCATTCTCCTAATAACATGTCTCTACCGGCCACAGCTGTATCTTTAACATTTTCCTGTGAGAGGTTTACGTCATAAGTCTGAGGATTATGGACGTGGCCTGTGGGATAGCCAACGGTCTGAGTACAGTAGTTACCAGGTGGACCTAAGGACGTCTACGTACCTATAGGATGATAAATACCAGGTTGCCAAGGATACAAATCGAAGTTAGTGGGAGGGCCTTCTTCAGTGCAGTTATCCTTGACCGGCTTCCTAACCATCAGGAAGAATTGGAGACGAATTAGAAAAAAAGTTTATTAGAAGTCGCAGTAAAATTCATCGTGTAGGACAATATTGAGTAGATAATAGACACAAGAAGATTGTCAAATCATGGAACCCGCGCAGTACACGTAGGACGTACACGAACAGGTGTGTACAGGTAAGGCACACATCATTCGTAGTTTTTCCTTGACTAACAGACATTTTCTGTTATTTTTGCGCTGTAACCTTTCTTAAGATAACTTGTCATCTTTCATTCTAAGGCAAGAATATGGTGCTTTGACATCAAGAAAAAAAATATGTGAAAATGTTTTCATTTCATTTAACAATATTTAAACTGCATAGTAACCAAAAATAGAAATGTTCCAAAATCGCCTAAATTCTTTATGTTGCCATCTCCTTGTGTTGAAATTTTAATGAGTTTACGTTTGTAAAGATAAATTGTCGAGGATGATAAAAAAAGGGGCTCTGCATGCTTTCATTTTTGTAATTTTCATTCAAATAATTAGTTTTTTCGAACATCAAGAAACAAGCTTAAAGAGTTGTTCTGAGATTTTTAAAATCGGTAAAAGTGGCCCAATCCATTCATGCATTGGAAATATGTTATTTGTGTTAAAAGTTTGTTGAAATCTACCCAAGACTTCCAGTTGTATTCAAGAGAAGTTCCTTAGCAACCAGAAAACGTTGAAATTATTGGCATTATTAACCCAATCTCGCCATCAACTAAACCATCACAGGATGTGATGAACTTTTACAACGAATAAATGTTTAGTGTAGAAGTCAGTTTTGATATATACCGTCTGTGTCAGAGAGGACAATAGCAAGACCAATATCGGCGTTTTAACGATACCTGACGATATTTTGAAAATATACAAGCAGAAATAACAAGTTAACAGGGAAATTAGGAGGTTTTTGATGAGCCTGTAACCAGACCTATTCAATAGTATCCTATTTTCTGTTTATAGGAATATTGCTCTTGTTCATGTCTACTGTGGCAGAATGGGTCAAAATAACCAGGCTTGTTAAAATGGATAAACATGTTTTATTAGTTCCATCAGTGTAGAGAATATCACGTTTTTTGTTTAAGACTTTACACACGGAGTTGTATAATTACTAAATAATTACTGTCTGCATCAAACCGATTACCTCTAATCCACAGTAGAGAGGCTGTTGACGAGGTAGCAGACACAGGGCTAGGGTTTACTTCTTTATCGACATAAATAGATCAGAGCACATCATAAAGATACAGACAATGTTTCAGAGACGAGCATGATGGAAAGGAACCGAGTTTACCAAGTATAAAGGTAATATTAGGTTTGTGTGGGAGACTTTGGAGCAAAATAATATCTGTCGGCACAGAAATGACCAAATAGATAACAGGAAGCATGTGAAATCGAATGAATTTTAGGGCCGGGATTTTACTAATTGTTACCAGACATTGTTAAATACTGGCTGATCAATGTTACATGTATAGATATAAAATGAAATAGGTCTGTCAGGAAAGTGGTAACATGAGGTCGTTTGGAATCACTCACGGAACAAGGTACTAATGACATATACATAGGAAAGAAAGAAATACAAGATACAAGCTGTAATCCTAAACACAGGATGTCGGGAAAAGGTCACAAAGGCCGGACTAGAGGGCTGTAGACAGTTGTACATA